CTCTGTAAGTTCAAGGCCAGCCTGGTCTACAGAGTGAGTTCCAGGATGGCCAAAGCTACACTGAGAAATCCTGTTTTGAAAACAAACAAACAGAAGCCACTGGGAATATAGTCCCCTGAAGAACATCAAACGTGGACCAGGAAACAACTCTGATCAGACTAAAGAGGACATAGGGTTGGGGACGGGGACAGGGATGGGGACTGGCAAAAGCAGGAAGAGGCAGTACTTCTGGTGTGAAAGTCAGGGAACAGAAGCTCCTAGAACTCACCCATGGTACCGGGGAAGCCAGAGGAGTACAGGAAGGTAAGAACTGAGACAGCTATAGAGGCTGGTGTAGTCCAGGCACAGGGGTTAGGGGCACATTTTCTCTATTCCTGTAAGGGCAGTGTGCAGACTTCCAGGAATTGGATGCTGGGGTGGGGGGTGGGGTGGCTGGTGATTAGATGAGGCGGCAGCACACAAAGGGGAGTGCTATACTGGCAGAAAGGTGACAGAGTTACCAGTTAAAGCGGGGTGGGGGAGAGAAAGGAAGGTGTGCTGTGTGGGCAACCGAAGACAGAGGCAACAGAGCCAGGTGCTTGTGGGGGAGGGCTCCAGTGGGCTCACATTGAGCAGGGGACCTCAAAAACAATGAACTTTTGCAGTTTGTCTGCCCAAACAAGCATAACAGAGATCAGCTCCTTTAATCACCTATAATCCCAGGACTTGGAGAACTTAAGTCCCAGGAAGAATGCAGCAGGTCTCAGGCAGCAGCTACACAGTGAGTCCCAGGCCACTTAGGGCAAGGCAGTTCATCAATGACAACTTTTATTTAAAATCATCCAGAACACATACCTCCAGGTCTGTCTTCGAGGGCATTTCCAGAGAGGCTTAATGAGGAGAGAAGACCCACCCTGAATGCGAGCACCCAGTGCCCCAATGGATAAAAAGGGGATGGTGAAAGTGAGCTGAGAGCCAGCATCCTCTCTTTCTGCTTCCGGTCAGCCTCACCACCATGGCTTTCCATTGGAAACCCACACAAGCCCTTCCTTCCTTAAGTTCATTTTCTTGGGTATCTTGTCATAGCAATAAGAAAAGGAACCAATACACAGGGCTCTAACAGTGAGATCTCAAACAAAACAGTCTCAGCCAGGGTTTCTGTTCCTGAGATAAAACACCATACCAAAAGCAACCTGGGGAGGAAAGGCTTTATTTCGCCTCATAGTCTGTAGTCCATCATCCAAGGAAGTTGGGGAAGGAACTCCAGGCAAGAACCTGGGTGTAGAAGCCACAGGGGAGTGATGCTTCTGGGTTGCTTCTCATGGTTTGCTCAGCCTGCTTTCTTACACACCCGAGGTGTGGCACCACCACACAGTGGGCTGGGCCCTCCCATATCAATCACTAATTATGAAAATGCAGCCAGGGGCTGTGGAGCATGCTTTTAATGTCAGCACCTAAGAAGCAGAGGCAGACAGAGTCCTGTGAGGTCAAGGCCCAGCCTAGTCTACATATCAAGTTCTATGGCCATCAGGGCCACACACAGACCCTATCTCAAAAACAAAAACAGACAAAAAAGAAAATGTACTGCAGGCTTGGTTATGGGCAATCTTATGAAGGCATTTTGTTAACTTCCCTCTTTCCCAAATGTCTCTAGCTTGTGTTAAGTTGACATAAAAGTAGCCAGTACACAAAGCAAAAATTAAATCCAGGTAAATTTACTAGGTACTGTGTCAAAATATAAGGCTAAGGCTACCTTTAGTCTCAGTAATTAATACCCTTCATGATAAGCAGCAAGACTACCCAGTTTACACTCCCCATACAAAGGGGCTTCAGCATATGCCTCAGCAAAATTGAAGATGTCTGGATTGCTGTTCTCACCTGCAACACCACTGTTATCCCTGCAGGAGCCCTCCAGAGGATGTACTGTCCTCTCCGACAAGATGAATGTGCCCAGTCCACATTCTAAAGTGATGACAACTTTCTTCCCCGTTCATGCCTGTACCCTCCCTCCCCTTCTTTCCTGGGGGCCTTGGGGCCACAGCTCTTCTGTGGTTGGTCAAGAAGTATTCAACTAGTTCATGAAAGTAGACAGGCCAATGTGTGGGCTTGGGCGGCCTGGGCAGAGGTGGACCTGGAGCTACTGTACAGTCAAAGAAACAGAGAGCAGGCCCGTTCAGTTTTCCCAGAGCATCAGGAAGCAGGAGAGGGAGGGAGAATGAGGCTGACTTGGAATCGATGACGGGAACAAAGAGAAGCTACTGCCGGGGAGGAAGAGTCTTCTAGCCCAAGCCACACTGCAGGAGTGGGGCATCAGAAGGGCTGTCCTGTCATAGACCAGGCAGGCCTCACACTCCCAGAGATCAGTCTGCCTCTGCTTATTGAGCGCATGGATTAATGGCGTTACCACCACCCAACTTAAAATACAATCTTAGAGCAAATTTTACGCATCTTCTTTTTTTGCTGTCAGTAAATTGAGGTTTCCTGAAGCCTTCTTAGGGAGATCTCCAAGAGTAAGTTGAGTCCAATAATGTAATTCCTCCTCCTCACTGCACGGGCGGCTGATGACCCCTCTCTGTGTCTATCTGACCCGGTTCCCTCACTGCACAGCAGCTGATGACTGCTCTCTGTATCTGAAGTGGGTCCCTCACTGCACGGGTGGCTGATGACCGCTGTCTGTGTCTATCTGTCCTGGGTCCCTCACTGCACGGGTGGCTGATGACCGCTGTCTGTGTCTATCTGCAGTGGGTCCCTCACTGCACAGCAGCTGACGACTGCTCTCTGTGTCTATCTGCAGTGGGTCCCTCACTGCACTGTTTTCAGTCAGCCAGTTTCTGAATGTTAAGACAGAATAAACAAAAGCCACAATAAGCCCTTCTAGCCCAGATATTCAAAATGCTCCCCAAGTCCTCTCACTATGGAAAAAACTTCACTACGGCAACTGGGCCGTCCACAGCTCCACAGAGGACAGGGGTGAGAAGTGGCTTCCAAGGATGCAGGGCAACTCACTTAACAGCTGGAGACATAATTTTGTCAAGGTGATGTTGATGTCCTTCCACACACCAAAGGACCACCCCGTGCAGAACCAGAGCCACCAAGAGACTTAAACGTGGACAATACAGAGGCTCTTTTCGTTTGAGAAACAGTCTGGTGGTGAAGGATTTACAGTTTAGACAGATTGCCTTGAGCGTGTGGCAAGATCCCCACATGGCCTCCGCAGTGACGCTTTATGAGCGAGCAAGCATGACCAGGTCTGCTTGGGCATCGCTCTTCACACCCGTCTACCACACAAAAACAAGCATGGAGCCCAAGGCTACTGCCATCTTTCACACAGCTCAACCTAAAGGTCATGCTTTCCCGTGGCGCCCAAGGCTAGCTGAAGAATGCTCTTCCCTACAAGCTCCACTGCCCACCTGTCCACTCAACATCTCAAAGTCAGCACATGCAAAGCCAGAGTCTTTATTTAACACCTGTTCTTCCATCTACCCAAAGCTCCAGTCACTCTGGGTCCTCTCACTGCTCTTGGCCTTCAATGAGAATCTCCTGTTGTGCCTTGAAGACACACATCCAGGAGACCACAGCTCTACCAGGACCCTCCCTCTGCACACCTATGCTCTGTGTTCTCTGCCTGCAGCCCATTCTACGCAGGAAACACCAGCAAGCTCAGGATGCTTGCGTGCCGAGACTAGCTAGCTTCTGGAGAACGCGATGCAAAGTCTCTCCTGACTCACAGCTCTGTCATTTCTGCTCCCAAGGCTCCGCCCAGCCTCAAAGCCTTTGTGCTCCTCTCTCTGCCAAGCTGAGCACACACCCAGATTCGTCTCGATGCCCTCGGGTTAGTTCCCGTGGCATTACAGCTTACCATCTTCAGCAGGCCTGGACACATGATGCTGTCCCTGCTAAGTGGAAGCTCTTTGAGAGCAGGCACCAAGTTCACACTGCAGGAGCAGCCAGGCTGGCTGAGGGAACAGATACTGGCACAGTGGCCTTCGGCTGAATGTCAGGGCTCTGGCTCCTGGCTGGCTATGTTTTACTACGGCTCTGGTTGTCTCTCCTAAACAAGGGATGGGCCATCCCGGGAGGTCACAGTTAGTGTACAGGTGCCTGCTGTGGTAAGGGCAGCACTGCACCAAAGCACCCACAGGCCTTGCTTGGTCTGTTTTTGCTCTGGGTTTTGCCTCCCAGTGTGGTTCAGGTTCAAGGCATGGGAGATAGGTTGGAGAGGGGGGTTATTTAGAAGCAATCAACAGCAGAAGTGCCCAAGGCAGGCCTCTGCCCAGAGGGATAGCCCTCAGGGGTGCCATGTACAATGGATTGAGAAAGGGGTAATTCCTAGATGGGCCACCCTTCCCACTGACTAGAGATTCCTAATACTTGATTCTGCTCAACAGGGGCTGGATGAAAGCGTCTGTTGTCATAGCAACCTTGGTGCTCCTGGGGCTTGGCAAGAGGCTTCAGATAAAGGTTTATGGTACAGGAGTACTAAAGGAGCAAGGATGGAACTGGAGAGACACAGGCTGTAATCCTACAAGTGCCATGTGCACTCTGAAAACAACACCCAGGAGCAGAGAGCCCGGAGCAGGGGTGGGCGGCTTCCTGCTGGGCAACAACTCAACAAAAGGCCCCATTGACACGCACATCTGTTACTACTAAACGCAAAGCAATCAATATTTTCTTACAGATTCTCCCCTCTTCGGCTTTAAAGGGTTACTGCCTGCCAAACTGCCAAACTGTAAGCATCTTCACGTCCACGATCACCACATAAAGTGTCTATTAGAATTTCAACCAAGAATTTAGTCCCTTATGCTATTACTATTTTTTTTTCTTGAGACACCAGAAAAATGTCAGAAGGCAAATCAAGACCCAAACCCTGGAAGACTTAAAAGATGGCAATCGTGTCCCTGAGAAGGTGAGGAACCCAAGCCATGTTGCATTTTAAAGGCAACAGTAGATTTAGCCAGCAGCAAGGATGTGCCCACAGGAGGGTGGAAGGGAGGAGGAGGCGGGAAACACTGGGGTCTTACCTCAACACCTGCATTTCCTCTGGGGAGTTCCGCAGCTCATCCTGTAGGCGATGCCAGCGCAGGCAAGCCCTCAGCTCTTGCTGCTCCAGGGCCTCGTGGGGGGGCAGCTACATGGGACACAGACACACAAAAACACATGCAAAGCGGAGTCATTGTGTTGGTCAGGCTCTCCTCAGCGAGGACACGGGGCATGCCTTCCTTCCCAGGTTCTCAGGCAGAAGAGGGCTGAAAGGGCTGGCTGAGGCTGAGCTCTTGGGCCTGCAAAGCCCTTGTGCTGCTGGGTACAGCAGCCCTGTCTGTGATCGTTCCAGTCAAGAACACACACCTGCACAGGGGGCTTCCCCACAGGCCATTTCTCCTTTGATTCCATCCAGCCGTCTTCCCCTGCCTGGGGTTTCTGCATGGGGAGGGAAAAGGCCCCTCCACTTACCTCTTCTTTTTCCAACCCTCAATTTTGTTAAGGACTGTTTATAGTGGGGCCTGCTAATGTAATCCAGATGACTCTGTTTGCACAGATCCAGAAAAAAGTCTACTGTCTGGACTCAATTTGGAGGAAGGGGAGGCCATCATACTGCCCCACAGAGGTGGGACTGGCTGCTGTCACATGGATGTGGTCACAAGGCCACATGGCTGGGATCTCCATAAAAGAGGCAGGCGTTGGAGTACCCTGCAGGGAGGGAAACATACGGGCTCTGCAGACATTTAGAAGTTACTGGTCTCTAACAATGCATTCACCGAGTCTCTGTATCTGTGTAGGCCCTGGATTGTCATGGAAGACTGCACTCCCATGAGGAGAGGTCTGTGAGGGCACCACACAGACTTGGGGCCATGTGAAGCTCAAGAAGGACCATGGGGTTCATCAGGGGAGGTGAGGGGCCAGAGGACTCCCCAGGGTAGGTGGTGAAGCCTGAGCTTGCAGGGGCAGAGACTTCAGGAAGTGAGAGAGCACTACAGGTTTGGAAAGAGTGTGCTGTTCTTAGAAAACAGTAAGGGGTATGGGCTGGCTGGGAGCAGACAGCCGAGGCAGGAAGGCAGGTGGTAGAGGGGCCAGGGATCAACAGAATGCTCCAGGGACTTAATGAGGATGCATTTGGAGACAAGACCTTCCAGAAGGTGATCATGGTTAAATGAGGCTTTTGGAGGGGACCCTGACCTTCCAGGGCTCTGGTCTTCTAAGACGATGACACTCGAGCTCTGTCCCTCTCTCAAGTATGGAAGAATGACCTTGTGGCCTAAAGTGAGGGAACACTCTTCAGGCAGCCAGGAGAAGAGGCCACTCCAGAAAATCAACTCTCTGGCCCCCAGATCCTGTCAGCTTCTTGAGCTGTTATTTAAACCACCATTTCTGGAGCTGGACTACTGCTGCCCAAGCAGAGAAGCAGAGGTGTGGAAGTGGTCTGGACTCATCTGGTCCATGAAGGCTGTATGCTGTCTGGCCTGGCAGCTTCCTCCCTGCTCTGTGACTCCATACACCTTCCCCTGCTGTGCTCTCACGGCCACCACTGCATTCTCTCTGCTGTAGCTCCTGCAGCCCAGAGGGCAGGACCACTCTTGGCCCCCGTGACTCAGTTTTTCCAGAAACCTTCCCAAACTCTATGGGGTCTCTAAAAAAGCTGAGGGGCGTTGGCATTCTTCTATGTTGAAGTTCCTGCTTGTACTGGGGAAAATGATCTGAGGTGACCCCTATGGAAGGTTGAGGAGAAGGGGACAGGAAGGGTCGAGAGAGCCCAACATGGTTTTCTTGAAGCTACAGCAGCAGGCACTTCCTCCATAAGGCTTTCTGGCCTCACCCCACCTCTGGATGTGCATAGGACTACAGTACCCACCTGCCCTCTGCTTTAGCCTTTCTCTCTCTCCTTCCACTGAGTGCTTCTCTTATCCTCCACCTTCTGGCCCCACAGGATGAACGCAGAAAGGACATGGAAGGTACACAGGCAGTGGAGAGATTCAGCCCAGCCTGCCTCTCTCACTTGGTAGGGACATGCTCACACAGAGCTGGGATCTGAATACAGGCAGGACACATGGTAAAAGAAGAGTCTGCTCTTTCAAAATGAAGTTAGAGACACTACAGGATGGTTGAAATGAACTCGGGAGTTGCCAGTCTGCGCGTCTTAAGAGGGGAACAAGCCAGGAAAGAGATGAAGACAGGGCATACTAATATTCACCCCTGCAAAATGCCAACGGGTGCAGGGTGGAATAAGCAAGCATACTATTCACACCGCTTCCATGTGTCTAAGATGGGTTAAGATCACTTACACATCATACCATCCACTTTGTGAATTTGAGTCTTCTAGGCCCATTCCCCAAGAGGGGAGCCAAGGTCTAAGGAAGGAAGCTCTAGAACTTGCTTGTGCTCAGAAAGCTAGTGAGCAAGGAGAGGGCTCACCACCTGGACTCAGAACCTAGTTTCTTCTCCAATCAACTGCGTAGCTTCTCTGAAGCAGGACGAGTGAGACACAGCCCCACTGTGTGGTGACAGTGCTTCTGTAGTGAGAATAAGAAAAACACACAGCAGAAAGCAACAGGATTTCAAAGTCCAGGAAAGCTGAGCTGGGGAATTTGAGGTGTGACTCAGTTTGGGTTTCAGAGATAGGAACTCAAGCTAAACACTGAAACACAAAGAATTCACCAGGCAGAATGTTTCTGAACAAAATCAAACAGTATGAAGAAATTTGGGAGTTTTAGAAAACGCCACGAAAGCAAAGGTGGGTACCATGTAGAAAAGAGTGACCCTGAGGTTAGGGAGTAGAGAGAAAGTAGGAAACAGCTCAGAAGTCTCATGCTCAGGAGACCCGGTGGTCAAGGCTCGGGTGGAGGCAGTGAGATGTTGCTTGATCAGCGCTTTTCACCTAGAGGTCGAACCCTGGCGTGTAGGCTAAGCAGAGGCATGACTACCAAGTACATTCTCAGCTCGTGATAAGCAGAGGCATGGCCAATGGGCTACATTCTCAGCCTCTGATTGTTTGCTTTATGACAGGGTGTCCCTCACGCTGTGGCCAGTCTGCAGCTCGCTGCATTGCCCAGGGTGGCCTGAGAGCTCTTGCTCCAGCCCCACATGCTGGGAACACAAGTGTGGGCCACCACGCCTGGTTTACAACATCTTTTCTGAACTAGTGAGTTCCTAACTAGAAAGACTGAGTTCCTAAAATATTTGTCCCAGCCATGATGAACCTCCCTGTAAACATGACAATTGACTGTAGCAGAGTGGTGGATGCCAGTGGGTCACGTTACCTAATCCACAGCACTAAATGCCTTGTCCTTCATCCAGAGAACTCCACTCTTTTTAGGGAAGGAGGTTGAGGCTGAGTCTTGTTATCTAGAACTGACTGCACTGGCCTCCAACTCCTGCCCATCTTCCTCTCTCGGCCTCACAAATGCTGGGATTCCAGGTGTGAGTCACACCCAGTGCTGATTAATATTTAAGTCTGGTTATTTAAAAAGCCGGCAGCAAGGGAGGAGAACTCACACAAATTCAAGTTGAGTCTGGTCTACACAGTAAGCTCCAGGCCAACTAGAGCTACAGAAAGACCCTGTCTCAAGACAAACAAAACATCCGCAGCTAAAGTTCCCATGACCATAACACATGGCTATTATGCAATGCAGGAATCTGAGCTTCATCCCTCTTCTCAGATGTGTCCTGAACGGGGCTTCTCTAACCCCCTGGCCAAATAGTCCCTGTCATGCTGTGTGTGGCTCTTGGTGTACTTGTCACATTGCTGTTTCTTTTGTTCATCTGCTCCCTCCGTGCTGCGTGGCTGAGAGAGCAGTGTTTTCACAGTCATTATCCAGCAAACATGGTGCCTAACACACACAGATGTGATCGTGGAATGAATGGGTGACAGAAGGCAGAACTTGGTTCAGGGTAGGGAAATCCTCTAGACCCACCTGCTGTGCTTCGGCCCAAAACACATCTTCCAGGTGAGTGGCGAACCCTTCGCTGAGCCACTCCTCTGTCCAGTCTCGGGCCCCGATGGCTAGGCCAAACCAGGCATGAGCAATTTCATGGCAGAGACGGGTCCCACAGAGATGGCTCACGCCTGTTAAGGTGCTCTGAGAGAGGAAGATGATGTGTGGGCTGCAGATAATGGGAGAGAAAAAACGGGGAATCCTGTTAGCACCTGTCCTCGTGGCTGCTCAGCGGGGCAGCTTTTGCAGCCCACAGAGTCTGTTATTACGGCATGCGTGCCAGATCATGATGGACAGATGCGGCCGCCGTGCTTTTCGACTTAAATCGAGTGGCGGTTTATGTTACTGGCAGCTGTTCAAGCTGCTGAGTTTCTGCCAGCAGTTGTCTTCGTCATCAGGCTGCTATTACCTGTAATAAGTAACCTGCGCTAAATTTTATACTGAGAAAATCACAAGGCAATGGAAACATTTACTCTGAAATCTGGACTGTAAAAGAAGAACAGGTGTGAGAATGTGAAGTCTGTGCTGTCAGGAGCGTGATCAAAGAAGACTGCCCAGCCAAAAACCCCGTAGCTCACAGGCACATCAGGAAGTCATGCGGAAGGCCAGGAGAAGCCAGAAAGAATAGAACCCCAAATCTTCCATTTCACACTGGAGCTGACTGTGTTAAGAACCAAACAGGTGCCCTGGGTGGGGAGACTCCTGAGGAGAAAGAGCCTATGTCTACAAAACAAAGACTCTCCATGTGAGCCACAGGCCCTTACAGACTCAGGTGACAAGAGACTCCTGAGAGGGGAGGAGGGGCACTAACCCTCCCAGGGGTGCACATGGCCCCAGGGCTGGCACCAGATGGGGAGTCATCTAATCTCATTTTCCATAGCTTCTTCTGCAACTCCAAATACCACGATTAAAACAGCATGGATGGGAAGGGAGGAAGTGGGTTTCATGAAGGAGGAAGAAACAGAATCCTTGCTTTGCTTCCACCTTCTGCACTTAGAACGAACTCATTTATGTTCTTCCTGATGAAGAATTTGTTCTTTAAAAACAAATCCATGAATTAAAACAAGTGAGTTGTGAGAACTTTCACAGTGAGGAACTATACACACCAGTTCCTTCCTTCAAACGCCATTTGTTTGCCATCATGTCAGCTCTGCACAAGCCAAGACGGTGGCGTGCAGATTCTGGTCCACCCCCGCAGCCACCATTAGAGAAAAACCCCACCTATACTTCCCTTGCACAATATCACCCATTCAGCTCGGAGAACTAAATTGCAATCGCGGGAGTCAGGACTGCCAAAATAGACAGCTTTCATGTGAAGTAATAACAGGGTAGGCACGCAAATGAAAAAGCATCTGCCAGGCTTTCCGGAAAGCCCACAGAAACCCCACATATTAAAAGCAGAGTTGAGGCACTGAGGACAAAGGGGTGCGGTGCAACAGGCACCAAGAGTTGAGCAGATTAGCAGCTCAGACAAAAATGTAAGAAGGAAGGCAGGGAGGGGACCTCTAGGCACAACAGCCAGCCTCCACTTTACCTTACCAAGAAAGAAAAATGGCACAACCTGGCATTCTCAAATGAATGACCCTTAACTCTGCCAAGTGTGATGCTACAGGAAAAGCCACAGAAATGCAAGAGTAAATAACATTCCAGACATACTGCTGGCAGCAGTACACCCTTTAGCTAAAACAAAACAGAGCAACTCCAGACTGTGTGAGCAGCTCAAAGATGAGCCTGCCTGGAAAGCATCCAGTAGCCAGAGTGACAGCCATGGCCATGCGGGCAGACACTAGGCAGCTGACCCTGGCTCAAACCAGAAATGCTCCAAGGGGGATGAGTGAACCAGAAGGAGGGCTGCCCTGTCGGGGTGCAGGGCTTTGTGCCTCTGCAGACCCAGTCAAGGTGCATTTGAATGGCTAGTCCAGAAGAAGAGCTTGATCCCTGAGTGACCTATAGCGAGGGAGCCTCATCCTCCAACCTTCAGTTTTTCTCCTTTGAACAATCATCTCCACCAGACTTCCCTCCCCACCCTTCTGAAATTGGGGAGCATCTCCAAGACCTGTATACCTCTGAGATGGGCTTGGGGGTAGATCTAGAGGAATCCAAAATAAGTTCCCATTTCCTATCTCCCAACTCTTTCTTCCCAGTCAACAGTAAACAATTTCCTATTATTCTCAGGAAGAAGGAAGTGTAACATCCTCTGACAGACTGGAGGAATAAGAAGGAAGGGTGTCTAAGTGCTATAATGTCTGTTATCACCAGAGGCCTCTCCCTGGAAAAAATGTCCACATGGGTTCCTGATTCTCAAATTTCCAGGGGCTACCTGCGCCCTGTGCAAGTTTCACCTATGAGGCCAGTGGTTCTCAGCCTTCCTAATGCTGTGGCCTTTTAAAACAGTTCCTCATTTTATGGTGACCCCCAACCATAAAATTATTTTTGTTGCTGCTTCATAACTAATCTGCCTGTTATGAATTGTGATATAAATATCTATGTTTTCTGATGGTCTTAGGTGACCCCTGTGAAAAGGTCATTCAACACCTAACAGGTACCCGACCACAGGTTGAGAAGTGCCATAATAGACTCTCTTCCTAAGTAGGAAGAGAGTCTTTTTCTTAACACTAAATTAAAAACACAGGGTGGGGTTGGAGAACCTTTCTCGAGGGTGTTAAAACAAACTTGGACATACAGGATGGCCAGAACATTCCTTCTATGAAAAGCTCCTCCCTTCTTCCGAGATGGTAAATGTCGGAATTTCTCAGGGTAAGTAGACATTTTAGACATCTGCTTTCCGCAGTAGGTAGTAAAGGGAACAATACACCTCAGCTCACTTTGGGGATTAGCAGGCTTGTCAGCACGGATGGCACCCCACAACAGAGGAGCTTTCGGAATGTCTAGGCACCGAAGTGTGCAAGGCCCACTCCCACATGCACAGCAGAGTCCTGAATTCTTAGCTCCTCAGCTGGCTCAGGCTTTACAAAGCTCCTGGAAAACAGGGCTGCTTTCTTAGGCCCTGGAAGAGAGGTTAACAGTCTCTACAAATGCTGATTTACCATCAGGATACAGGGAGGACAATTGCTAACATCTTCACATTAAAAACAAAGTGGTTTTTTTCTTTTTGTTTTAAACCATAAGTCACTGAATTTATTGTTTTCTCCTTCTTGAATTGTCTGCCACACTCTCTCGGCTGCACATGGGGCAGGTGGGGGTGGGGTGGAGGTGGTAGAGGTGGACAGGCAGGCCTGGGATGCTCAAAGCCTCAGCAAATCTGTGTCTGTCAGCCTTTCCAGGAGACCCAGCATTGTAGAGGTCACTCCTCCACAAAGTCCAAGTGCTCTAGATGCTGATGCTTGTGCCACACAACAAACGTAAAGTCTCTTAGACTGCCTCTTCATAGGACCTACCCAGCCAGATTAGAATGTTGTGTCCATGGGACTGAAGAGACGCTCAGCAGTTAAGAGCATTGGCTGCAGAGACCCAGGTTCAGTTCCCAGCAACCACACAGCAATTCACACCTGTCTGGAACTTCAATTCCAGGGCTTCTGACAACCTCATACAGACATACATGCAGGCAAAATACCAATAAATGTAAAAATTAAAATTAAAAAAAAAGAATGTTGTGTCTATTAATTTAAACTCTTCTTCTAGCAGAGAGGGAAGGAGAGCCTTTGAGAATCCCAGGAGCTGCTCCCTTCCTGCAGGAGGAATTCAATTTGGAGAGGAAATGGAGGATTTCATCAAATCTTAAGTAGGAGCTGGTGTTTGATTTATTTCTGCTTTTTTCCAGGGAGGCCTGACCAGCAGGCCCATCTTGCTGCTTAGGGAGAGAGAGAAAGCACTTAGCAGCTCAGGCCAGAAGCGGCAAGCCTCAGTAGCAGGTCTCAGCAGGCTGAGTGAGCAGATCCTGAGTCCTCAGGGGGGGTGGGAGGTGGGAGGAAGGAGGGAGAAGTGGCCAAATGCACTTCTGCAGAGTCATGTAGACATATTTACCAAGCTGAAACTTCTTGTAGACTTTAACATTTTTCTAAATTTCAACAACAAATGAAACCCACCATCCATATGTCTGAGAGAAAGAACCTAGAAGAAGGAAAGGAGCGCTCCTCTTGCCAGGATCCACTTGGATAGTTCCAAAGATCTTAGAGTCAATTGCAAAAAAGCAGTCTCCCCTTGTGTGGTTTAATAGCATGCTGACATGGTTTAGACAACTGAAATATACAGGCATAGGGGGCTGGAGGAATCCCAAGAGGAGTCAGCCCCACACCCTGCTTCCTCTTTCCGCCACAAGCTGCCAAGCAATGCCAGCTGACTCCAGCCAGTGCATTGACCACAGGCTCCTTCCCCTGGAGTCAAACCCTCCAGTTCCTCTTTGCTGGCTGTGGGCTAATGCAAGGCCACAACTGATGCCCTAGAAGAGCTGGCAGAAGTTTCTCCCTTCTACCTCTGTGACTAGTCAACAGTGAATGGCCACATTCCATCTTCTTGAGACTCCCGGGAGTGGATGAGCCTCAAGAGTGGTGTGTGCAGAAGATCATTTCTTAGACTGAGAGACATAGCTCGGAACAGCTAGGGGAAAGCTGCTACATCTAACCAGTGTTTCAGGAGACCTAAGTTGGTGCCTCAAACCCCCAGCTTGCATGTGTGTGTGTGTTTGCATGCCATGCTGCATGTGTGAAGGTCGGAGGACAATTAAGCAGCTTACAATGTCAAGTCCTCTCCTTCCACCATGTGGGCATAGGAGATTAAATTCAGGTTGGTAGGTCTGGCAGCAAGTGCTTTCACCTGCACCAGTAAAATTTTCTTTTAATAAGTAACAATATCTAATCATTCATTTATCTAGATGAGTGTTGGCTCAAACTGCCAATGTGACGAAGTTGGAGTAATTAAGGCCCACCCCAGGAATGAAAGCTTTATATTTTATCAACATTGTGTGTGTGTGCGCACACGCATGCAAGTGTGTGCGTGTATGTCAGAGATAAACACTGGGTGTTTCTCAGGAGCCTGAGGCTCATTAAACTCATTCTCCAGGCTCCAGGGACCCACCAGTCTCTGCCTCCCTAGCACTGAGATTACCCACATGGCTCCCCTGCTGGGCTTTCATGTGGTGATCAAACCAAAGCAGCTGTCTCCTCAACCCAGCATCCTTTCCTGCTCTCCTTTCTGAGGAAGCACACTGCT